TAGGGTGCCCATCGGGTAACGATAAAAAGCAGCACTTCCGGCATCTTCCACGGCGATGAACGAGTGTTCAGTGCCTGCCGATAAAAAAAGAAAAAAATAAAGAGAGAAATGTTGAAATATGCCAACGCCTCCTATAACTGAAACCCTCCACATGGTTTCTTATAGATACTCCGATCAGACCACTATGAAGGTAAATAAGTTTATGAAAGAGCCATTCAATAGAAGATCTATTAAAAATTTGAAAGAGGTAGCAAGTATATGTCAAAAAATTTGCGTAATTTATGAATATGATTGGTCTGAAATATTGTTTATTTGTCAACCACTACAGATTCAATTCCGAAATATATATGTTACATTTCTCTCAATTACTTTTAAAATAGAAATCGGGTTAAATGCGCACAACTGGTTAGCTTTTTAAATACTCTGCGCAGACTACTTGTACAAAATCCCGTGTGTAGGAAGTGATTAATATACACCAATGCGAATAGAATCGGTAATTAATGTAATTAGATAGCCTATAGAAATTAAAGAAAGATTTATAAAATCATTTAACTTGTCACATAAAGGATATTATCTAATGATTATTACACACCCGTTATTTTAGGACCCCCGAGATTAAATTTAACCACGGAAAAAACGGGAAAACCCTTACTCTCATAATTTTTTTTTTCATTCAAATTATAAGGGTGGCCAATATTTTCTTACGATATGTAGAAAATAAATTTGTTTTAAGTTCCACAAGGACTTATTTATTTCACATTTATTTTGTGGAAACCTTAAAAACCATTTCTCTTCAAGATTTTTTTAAACATAAATTTACGCCTATAATATTTATCTTTGTTTAATAGAAAATTCGCCAAAATAGCATTTAAAAAAATGCTTCTTAAAAACGACCATGAAATCTGGATATATCTCGCTTAACCTCTTATAAGTTTATACTAAATATATACTCTAAGCTAAGTATATTATATGTTCTTAAAGAGTGATTAGTTTTCGTAAACACTTTCAGTATTTCACCACGTATTTAGCGATTAATTTCCTCGTCTTGAAAATGAATTGATTGTGATAAGAATCATCTTATTCGATCAATATATTATACAGAATAAACGCATTAAAAAATTTTTGCTTTTTGATAAGATTACAATCGCTTAAGATGGGTAACGATGAAATGTATGTTTATAAACAAAACAAAACTTTTTTTAAGCATGAATCGATACGTCAAAGAAAACTTCATTTCATTCGAGACGTTTTATTTAAAAAAAAAATTATTTTTTTTATCTTGATAAAAGCCAATCTTTATCAATTCAACAGTTTATTTATCTGCATCAAAATATAAAACAATTAAATTAAATATTTCATTCGAAATTATTTCTTTTACACATTTCATTTATCATGTTTTGAAAAAATTAACACAACGAAAAACGAAGATCATATAATAGGTATATTTTTGTACTAAAAGGTACAAATACACATGCAAACAATAATTAATCTGGTATCATAGAAAAAATTTCTTTACTAAAATTACTTTATATTCGAAGAGCCTAATGATAAGCCACACTTTTTCTGAAAATGACATTTTTGCGTCAAACTGTTCCTTATTATTGTATCCGAATGCCTTAAGCGTCACCAGAAGCAGAAACATAGATCAAACAATTGTAAGGTAGGTCATTAGAAAAGATTTTACTAAGTGTAGCAATACTGTAGTATTAAAATTTTTCCTAAATTTAAGCTACTTCACCAACTTTTAAACTATAATTGCATGACTACTTTTTTCTTCTTTTATTAACTTTCTCAATAGGTTTATTTGTAATGAGGACAATATAACAATTTTACAATTGTAAGCAGATGTTATTTTAACTATGCAAAGTTATTTTTATGTACTTAAAAAGTATTGATAGATATTCTAGGAAAAACTTAGATATAAATTTTTTTTTATATTCATTTAAATTATTTATGCGTTAATGCGGGAAAAAATCATTATTAATCAACTTTATCAGATGGAAATATTAACATTTACACTACGCTATCACTTTGAAAATAAACTCAAAATCTCACGCAAAAATCTGCAGAACCGGAAACTGTTCCATAACAGAAAACAATAAATGAAGCGATAGAAAAATATAAGAGAAGCAAATAATTTTTATTAAATCCCATCACTGAAGCTCAATTAAACTATTATCACTTAAGTAAATTAAAGAAAAGTAATTAAGGTAAATCACATAATACACAAGTAAATGTTTAATAACTTTTGAAATATTCAAGTTATTTGTTCGTTTTAAAGCACAAATAATTTTTCATGGCAGGATTATAGTTTATAATCATGGCACTGCATCTACAGAGATGCCAACTGCTCCGGACACGACAAAACAATTAAAAAAACGGTAAATAACTACAAAGTAAATTTTGCAAATATTTGACTATTTTTGCTTGCTTTTTAAAAGGTATGACATGACATAAGTTTCACAAAGTGGTAAATAATATAAGGGTGCGAATTATTTAGAAATAGTGGTGGATAAAAATCAACTAAATTGAATTTATTAAATCAAGAATTACAATTGATAAACTACCACTTTGAGATATATATTTGCTGTCCGGAGCAAGTTGGCATCTCTGCATCTAGAGCAAGGCGCCTAACTCGTTTTGTCCCGAATTTATATATCAAGATCATACAAGAAGTAGTTTTTGGGAAAAAGTGGTATAATATATTATCGAAATTTGTTGGTTTTTCTACTATTAGGACATTCAAAAAGTCTTTGATCGATCAAAAAGTATTTGCTCCTTATAATTCTAGATCTGCTCAGAAATAACTAAATCATAATGGTATCTGAGAATCTTTTAATTCACCCAGATAAATGAAAATACTGAAAAATGTTTCCCATCACAATGAATGTCTTTGAAAAATGGAACTGTCCTAAATATATGACCATATAACCGGTTAATGAGGCAAAATTTTTGCAATCGTAATAGATTCTTGTTTTAACAAATTCGATTTACAGTAATTTTTACTACCACTAAGTTAAAAAATTTGAAAATCTATACAATCAGTTAGTTATCATAGGGGTGTTCAAAACTCAAAAGATTGCTCTATTTATCCATGATCCGCCCCATCCTTACATATGCATACCAGCCAACTTTTAATCCCTTCCATTATGATTTTTCCCAGTGGTATTAACATGGAATTAAAACTTCAATTTTAAGCAGAAAAATACGTCGTATTTGAAGAAGCCTTAGTTTTCAACCCTAGACGGTAACACATATTTATATATTTACTTAAATTTTTTAAGAATAGTGGTGATCAAAATCATTTAAAAATTATGTTTATAAAAGAAAAAAATAGTATATATTTACTACCACTTTAAATATAAAAATGAAATTTTACGCCAAATGCGTAAAAGTTGGCAGGTATGCATATGCTTCACTAGTCTTGACAAATATAACACGAACTCAGCTAAATAAATTAATAGTCTGCCGGAATAAAATATTAAGAAGGATAACAAACGCCAGATGGTTCTTAAGAAATGATACAATACACCGTTACCTCAAATTATATGCAATAGACAAATAAATAGCTAAACTAAATATCAAATTCTACGAAAAAGCCACCTCTTGCTCTACAGCAAATTACAATGAAATATTTCTTTTTGAAAATTTAACTGAAGACAAGAACATCAGACCAATAGCAGCATACTATTGCAGTGATGCATCATGTTCCAGACATGAATAGCATATACATAACCTCATTTTCATCATATCAGCTTAGCTAAAGTTCATACTTTTACAATATATCACCCTACTGCATATAATTACACAGTCAGAACCTCAATGATCCACATGAATATTCCTTTACTTCATTTGCATTTCACAACCAAATCGAAGCACCTCAAAGATCAAGCTAAAGATGAATGGGAAAAGGGCCACAAACTCCCTTAGGTGTCCAGATGTTTTATACAGTTTAGGTTTAAGCAGGGATGTTCACTCAGACGAATTAGTTAGAGCCCCTCGCGGGGCTGACGCTAAGATAATCACCACATATGAGTATGAGTCACAGGGATGTCAACTACCCAGCTTTCTCCGTAAGTTTTAATAAATTTATAGCGAATTAAAAAGTTAAAATTGCACAATAAGAAGAATTACACCTGTTCTTTAAAAGTGACACCGCAAAAATATTGTGTTAAGTTTCATTTGATATGGTACTTAGAATTTCTGAAACGTATTAGTGGAAAAATTACTTAAAAGGAAGAATATTAAGTAGTAAGCAGTTGGAACTCCAACGTTTACTCTACGATCCATCCCGTCCTAACTTAAGCATCTTCAGCCTTGTCAAACATCTCACATCACTCCTAGAAATACCCAAAAGATGTCAAAATGAAATAATCCAAGAAAAAATATTCCAAGGTAGTGTTCCTTTGCCAGCAAGTTCGTGGTTTTTCTCTCCGTGTAACACAAATGCAGGTTAGTTCCATCAAAATGTCCTCCACGAAGGCAAATTTCTCCCAATACTTGATCCAGGAATTCCCTTGTTTTCTAGATTGGGTTCAAAATTACAAGGTTACGCAGTTGAACATTAGTAGTCGTAAACCTAAAAATTGGGTCGGTTGTTCAACGACAGTTATAAAATAAAATAAAATAGTTATTTCAGTACCACTGAAGAAATTTTTTTTGGAAGAGTATAAAGTTGGCTGGCTCCCTCAATTTTGTCATTATTCATCAACTTTTCTGAAAATAACGTTTACTCATGCTGATACAATTCTGAACAACTCCAAAATCAAACAAACACAGTTTAGAGCAAGCTGCTCAATTTATTTTTGATTCCTTTTTAGTTATTCAAGCAAAGAGCTTGAAACATTCATAAAAGCAACTCCATTGCCTGCTCACCTCATTGCTCAACCAAAACTGTTATAAAATTCCAGATGAATGGGATAGGGGCCGCTTCGCGGCCCAGGTGCCCAATAAAATCAAAACACTAGGACTAGGACTTTTGTCATTAAGAAGCGTTTAACGGTATTTTATATCAACGCTCTCCATAACTGTTTAAAAAAGTTGCTAATCATGTTGACCTACGTGTTCCATTTATTAACCAATGAATGATGTGTTTGTGTTATAGCAGGCTTATGCTGTGTGTTTTTAATTTTCAGCTTTCGAGCGGGTGGAGGAGTTACCAGAAGTGCGAGCGATATAAAAGACATGCTTCTTCACTGGTGTAAAAGCAAGACCAGAGAATATAATGTAAGTCTTGAAATGAAATTACAAAACATTGATACAAAAATAATTGATGCTTACAAATGCTTGACAATACAATGCTTGGTTACAATGGCTTGACAATGTTAGTTAATAACTGATTATCTAATTTAAAGCAATTAATGTCGTCAAAAGTTTTGATTTTTAGTGACTCTTTTTTTTCTTCTGTTATCTATATGTTACCGGGAATGACCAAAATCAAGAGAGTGTTGACTTTCATCAGTGAATTTCAACAACCATATAGTCGTTTTGGTGAATGTCCGAACTATTTGTTATATCCGATTTGATAATAATTTATTCGTTGATATAATTACATTTATTCTATATTTTAATATTTACTGATGATATATTAATAGAAACATCAGTGTTCGGAGTTCAGATTAAATGGATACTAGGCACTTGATCTTAAAAAAATATTGATAAAGGCATATCGGTTGAAGTTATTCCGGGTAGTGGCACTTAACTAGATCTAGTATATATTTCGGACAATTACCAAAGCTATTATGTGATTGTCAACTTTAACCGGTGGAAATACCAACCACCAATCCTCTGTTAAAACATACCCAGGGCTGCCAACTTTCTGTGCTTTAAGTAACATTTATTCCAGTGGTACCTAAATTTACGTTTTAATGTATTATTTTTAAATTCGTTTGAATTTGGTTTTCACGCAGTTACATATAAGTTATTTAAAAGTTCATATGCAACGCCACTCTGCTCCAGCTCTTTCGTGGTGAAGCTCAAAATTTTGACGAAATTTCAGAAAAAATTAAATTTATATAATAATTATTAAAATGAAATTAAATAAACTAAATTATTGAAAAAATGAAATTAAATAAACTAAATTATTGAAAAAATTAAATTAATATAATAATTATTAAAATAAAATAAAATTAATGAAATTGTTGAAAATTTTTTCTGAAAGCTTTAGTTTTTAACTGTCTACCACTCTATAAAATATTTTGCAAAAAGATTTGCAGTAGGCAGGCCTGCATACTATCTTCGATTGTGGAAGATTGTGGAGTTCCTCAATCTTTCTAACAATTTTTACTCTTTTTTTTTTCGTTTTTTTTTTCCTTTCAAATTTAGCTTAAGTTCTTTAACTTGTGCAGTAAATGACAATTCTGCTTGCTCTAAGATTTTGAGCTTTCGAGATTTTTTGCTAAATGACAATTTTGCTTGTTCCAGGAAAGTTGTTTCAGGATTTTGTGCTATTAGTCACTGTAGTTAATTCAATTCCAATCTTATTCTCAATGCTAATTTTATATCAAGGAAAAAAGTATGACAATAATTATCGAATCGATTATGGTTTTCATCGTTAAGTTAAGCAATGAAGATACCAAATAAGATAATTTCAAGTATCTTTCACCTTTGTAACCTTTTTATTGAGTGATAACAGAAAGCGAGCGCATAAAATTACTTTACTTACAAGTATGCGTTTTTTAGACCATTATTTATAAACATATCTTGCATATATTTTTAAGATTACTGTTTGATAACGAAAGCTGTATCAAAAAATATATCAATAAAGTTCTTCTTTAAAAATTGTTCCATCAAACTTCATAGATAATGCGAAATATGCTAATATAATTAAATATTTTTCAATCAATATGTGTATTTTCCATATTTTTATGCTTTTAGGGCGAAAAACAAATCCATTCCTTTTTTACCCCCCCCCCCTTTTCTTATATTACTTATTTAATTATTTTTTTAATTTAACGTTTGTATGAATTGTGAAAAAAAGTAAGCATGGAAAGTTTTGAAAACTTTTGACTCCCTTTGTTCCAAATTACATTTAGGTAGTAAGTTTTGTCCCAAATTAGTTGCTACATTTCAAGCAGATGAAGTCATAAATAAATTCAGCTGCATCTACACCAGTAAAATTATACTATTAAGGAACTAGTGATTCTTTAACTAGAAGATAGTTTTATGCGACTAATTGTAAAACAATCCTTAAGAAATTGGTTGGGGCGTAAGAGCCAGAGAACCTTAAATTTTTGAAACTATTTTGATACTAATTTTAATGAAGGTGAAGAACGAATGCTTGGTAAATGAATGTTGTTGATTGACAATATAGCACACTGAAAACAAAAAACAATATTTTAATAAAATCACTAAAATCGACAGTCTCAATAATCAATACAGAAATATTAAACTGTATCAAACGATTCGGGGCGGAGTGGTTATTTTTTTTAGATTTACGGATGAAGAAGTAGCCCGAATATTAAATAAAAAAAAGGCATGGAATACCTCTAAGAAATAAAGAACTCACGATTGTATACGCCAAAATTAACAATAACAAAAGAAAAGCACCGATATAAGAGAAAACTAGTTTGTTTTATTCCAAAAATGTATTCCGAATCACTAAAAAAAACTCTCTAGACTGTGAAAACTATTATTAGATAAAGCATCTCAACTAGTTATCTTTAAGCTACATGTGCACCCCAGGTGGTACTAAATCAGTAACACCTTTGCAACTGAAAGTTGGAAAGTCTTAGACTTTTTGATAAAACTTACTTCTTTATGTTTTGTTCCTTGTTTTTATTCTTATATCTTTTTCCCCCCTTGCGTATTTAATCTCTGTATGAAGCAAGGATTTTGTATGTAATGCTTCCTGCATTACAAATAAAGGGATTTTATAAAAAAATACTAAAAACATTAATGAACATGCATAAAGTGACGAAAATTTATTAGTGTGCTTTTTCATCCTCTGCTTTTTTTAATAATTAAAATCAAGTTAAGGATAGACTTCGATAGTCAGAATGGTCACTGCATTTGCAGTTATAATTGAGACATTTAATGTAATTGCATAATTTTAAATGTATATTTGGCTTTGCATTTGCGTTGGTTATCAGGAGGCACTGTACTAACAGTGGTTTTTATTTTAATGCAATGAATAATTTTAAATCTAACTAGAATTGTTATTTTGATGTAATGTACAATTTTAAATTTAACCAACCTTGCATTTATAATGGTTGTCCTTTTAACGCAAAACATATTTTTAAATGTAACAGGAATTACCATTGTAATGCTTATTAGTTTAAAGTAATGCATAATTTTAATAGTAGCAAACAATTAATTTGAAATTTTTTTTAAAAATGTAATCCTTTATTTTAACTATAATAAATATCAAAAAATACCAATTAATGTAATAAATATTACTTTAAATATGATGTTTTTTTTCTATGTATCAAGTAAACTAAAAACGTTTTGACTTTAAAAGAGTACTTTTATTATAGAATGTGGAAATAACGAATTTTTCAACCTCTTGGAATGATGGAATGGCATTTTGTGCTTTAATTCACCATTTCTATCCAGATGCATTCGAGTTTGAGACATTGAATCCCAAAAACAGAAGATATAATTTCGATCTCGCATTTAGAATCGCCGAGTAAGTAATTATTTCACTGTCATTATCTGTGCCTTGAAGGTTTTTAACCGACTGAACAAAACACCTTCTAGAGAAAAGAGAGTCTTTGCACCTTTTTAGATAAGATGTAGTATAAAAAACTTACTTGTTCCAGCTAATGTGATCTGGTTCAAGAGCTACTTAGTTATCATACATATGGGAACGATATTTTTAAAAAGTAGCGAGTAAAAGTACAAGTATTTTAGTTAAAAGTAACGAATAAAAATTAAAAAGTTTTTATTTTAAAAAGTAACGAGTAAAAAGCAAGTAAAAGTAACAGTACACAACAAAAAAAAGTCACTATTTTAAAGTACATTTCAGGAAAATCAAAAATTCAAAGTAATCGTAAATTTCATAAAAGATTTAAGAAAAAATTATTTAAAATGTATTAAATTTTAATTTAAAAGTATGAAACTTAAAAATGCAGGATACTGGCGAAGCCAAGATTATCAGAAACACATAATTCATGTAAATTTTTAATTTTTTTATATTATTATAGTTACTAAAATGGTATGAAAAAATTTATGCATTATAGAACACACAAAGATAGTTTTATTTATATACACAGAGACGACAACTTGCTCCGGAGCGAATAAATATTTTCAAGTGGTAGTTTATTAATTGTGATTCCTAGTTTAATTAATTCAATTAGTAGATTTTTATCCACCACCATTTCTAAACAATTCGTAGGTTTATATAATTCACCACTGTTTTTTAGATATGTCATGCTAATACCTTTGAAAAAACCAGCAAAATCTGTCTAATATTTGCAAATTTAGTTTGTAGTTAATTACCATTTGGCCAGATGGGCAAGCCATATAAAATTAGCGTGGCATTCAACGTGTTAAAGCAAACATATATGTCAGTGTATAATAATTTTACGATGAGGTGACTTAAACTCTGGCAAAGAAAAATTACTTTGTTGAACACTTCTTTTTCCGTTGCATGAGATTTTCGAACCATTCAAGATATTTTCAAATATGCAATCAGCTTCTTTCTAGAACTAAATGCTTATGTAATTTAAGATTATATTCCTAACCAGTATCTTTTATAATTCTCTCTAGTTAAAACAATGTGTCTCCTCTTCTCTGCTACGTAGGGAGTGGTAGTAAGAAGGCGAGAATCCATTTCAATTTATGATGAGATACGTTAAATTAGCGTGTTTTTTGTCTTAAGTGTTATTTTCAAAGAAACAAACAAAATGTACAGTGCGCCACAGAAAGAAAAAAAACGGGTCAATATTAATAAATTTTGATCGAATGATTGGATCTTCGCGTTTTAAGACTCAATCTTAATATTTTAAGGGGGTGACCTGAAATATGCAAATTAATTAGTGCAGCCGATATTTTAAGTTATGAAATCAGACAACAAAAAAAACATATACTTTCTCTGAGCAAGCCTTTTCTTTTTTTTTCTCTACGGATTCAGATTTCTGACCCCCAAATAGGGGGTAGCCGCAATCTGTGAAATATGGTATTAATAGTTTGATCAGGAGTGCGGGTCAAACGTTTGGACTCCTTAATGTTATTTTTATTTTTTGCGCATTTAACCATATCTCGAAAACTGTTTTAGCGAATTGAAAATTTCTTGCACACAATTATAAAATTCGTTTATCTAAAGATAATTCCACGCAAAAAATAAATTTCAGTAAATATTTATTTTCGTTATTATTTTGTGTAATAATAGTCGAAACTTTTTGAATTGTAAGGGATACAATTTTTTACATTATTTTAAAGTATCTAATTTCACATGACAAAATATAAAATATGAACGAAATCGGTTGAATATTTTCTGAGAAATCTAATTTTAAAAATACGACTTATATAAAAATCAGTTTCTCAGAAACTATTCAACCGATCTCACTCAAATTTTGCATTTAACCATGTAAAATTAAATACCTTAAAATGAAATAAAAAATTTTATACCCTGTAGCTCAAAATTTTTCCTACTATTATTAAATAAAATAATAAATATTTAGTGAAATCTATTTTTTGCGTGAAATTATTTTTGGATAGACGAATTTTGTATTTGTGTGCTAAAATGCTTCAAATCGCTTAAAAAGATTTCGAGGTATAGGGAAATGCGCAAAAAGTAAAATTAACATTAAGGGGTACTACTTTTGACTGCTCTCCTGACCGAACTATTATTAGGACCATGTTTCGAAGATTGCCGTTACCTCCTATATTTTGGGGGTCAGAAGTCCAAAGCAGTCGCAAAAAAGGCATATTTAATCAAAGAAAATACAATTTTGTGTCTGATTTCGTAACTCAATATAATGTCTGCACTAATTAATTAGCATATATGAGGTCACCCTTTCGAATCAATAAGATAGAGTTTTAGAACGTCAACATCGTGAACGTCCTTTTTTATGCATTGTACTGTTAAAAAGTATGTTTTTTTGTATGAGTACAACATTTAACCTCTTCGAGACGGGCGAGTCATATATGCATTCTCAGGGTGGCGACAATCAGGGTAAAAAAAACTGGTAGGCAAAATGTTTTTATACTAGTTTATTTGGGGGAAGAGTAATAATAGTTTGTTTTACTAAATATATATCACTATTCAATTATTAAAATATATTCAAAATAAAAAATTTTTATAGTTACATTTTGAACTGACGTTAATAAGATATGTTATAATTAAAGTGAAAGTAAAAACAAGACTGTTAAATTATTAAAAAATGAGCCTTGTCCAAACTTAACACGTTCACGACGGGGTGACCCACC